GTGTTTTGTGCGGGTTTCAAAGTTCAACGGATTTCAACGATATTTCATTGTTTTTTCAACTCGGTATTTGGGGCATCAATCGCTGCGAATCGTATGGTTGTGCATGTGTTTTTTGTGCTGATGGCGTGTGATTGCCCATTATGTGTTGTGTTTTTTCGAAGTGTGCATGTGTTTTTGTGTTGATGGCGTGTGTTTGCTCGTTATGTGTTGTGCGTTTCGTGTTTTGCTTGTTTGATCATGTGTGTCCATGCGTTTGGTGTGTGTGTGTGTGCGTGTGCGTGCGTGCGTGCGTGCGTGCGCGTGTGTGTGTGTGTGTGTGCATGTGTGTTGCTCTCGTTGGACGTGTTTCACACACCTCGCTCATTGCTGGAACTGTACGGCACACATGGGTGAGGAGGACGGTGATGGGAGCACGACGGGGCGCATTCTCCCACTGAGATCTCGCTGGCAAACTGTGCGGCGCCTCTCGTGTCACGCGCGCCGAGAGGACTGCGGTGTGCGAACTACTTAATCGCACCGAGTTCCGTGAGCCACCACGTGAACCCGAAACAGCACGTCACATGGGAGAGGCCGAGGCACCGCAACTTCTTGCATGCACCTGCATCCACTGCCACATGTCGGCTCCCCCCCCCCCCATGTGTTCGAACGAAAATTGAACACGTGCCCGCGTACCTATCTATCAAATGAGCTTGGCGTTGAACGCCGCCGAGCAGCGCGTGGATCGCGTCGTCTAAATGTTGGCCAGCCTCTGCTTCTCCGCTTGCATGTTCTGCAAGCAGGTGATTTCGGCCTTGAGCTTCTTCAGCGGCGACTCCAGGGCAGGGGTCACGGACAGGATCTTCTCGTCGAAGGTCTCCTCCGCCATCTGGCTCTTCACCTTTGCGATGTCAGTGATCAATATCTCCTTGATGAATTGGCTCCCCATGGCGGCAGAGACCAGCGCGTTCAGGCTCTCCTGCAGGCCCGACACGCCCTCGGAGTTGTTGGCCCACTTCCACTCGGGCAGCGACTTGATGTTATCCAGGATGAGGTTCGCTTGGGTCACGGTCTGTCCGTACTCCGAGATGGACGTCTGCGCGCATTCCATGTTTGCTTTCTGCGTCTTCTTGAGTTGCTTGATCCTCTCCTTCTCCTGCTCGGCGTCGGTAGTCTTCCCGTCGAGGTCGCCCGTCTGCGCGGTGCCCGCCTTAGCCTTAGCTTTTCCTTTCGGCATTTTCTTCGACCTCGGTGTCGGCTGTGGTGCTGTCACCTGCTCGCTGTGGCGCTTCTTCGTCTTGACTTCCACGTTGCATCCTCCTTCCAGAACTGCTGGGGCCGCTGGGGCCGTTCCGCCATCCGCGATTGTCGTTGGAGCAGCTGGAGTCGGTTGGGCCGTTGGAGCGGTTGGAGTTGCGGCATGTTTGTCCATCATCTCAGTGATCTCGGTGTATTGTTTCTCGAATTTGCATTTGTACCCCGACTTCATGTACAAGTACTCCATGCGTTTGCTCTGCCAGTTGTACTTGCACCAATATCCGCCCAATTTGATGCAACTGAGGCAGATATTGAGCGCGGCCTCCGCTCCCGAGGACGTGATCCCTGTCCCAGACTCTTTACCTGCAATGACCTCGAACGGCTCGTAGGTGCCGAAGTCAGCCCAGCACTCCGCCATATTCTCCACCACAGTGCGCCTCTTCTTGTACTGTGCCCACTCCTCATCGAACCACCTCTTGCGGAAGTCTGCTTTCGCGATGTTCCCTTTGGAGGTCTCGTATTTCTTTCTCTCCTCTGGGTTCGCATCCAAGTAGGTCTGGAAGCGGTTGCCCAATGCGCCCCTCGACGGCACGACGCCTGTTACATGGGCTTCTTCCAGGAATCGGTCCTTCGTCTTGGAATCTCAGCCTGCTTGTTAAAGTATTCATTCTGGACGGCCGTCAACTTCGCGTCGCCTTGCGCCTGACTGTAGATGGCAGTCAGCTTGGAGATCAGCTGGGACAAGCTCTGTGGTTCCTTGGAGCGCATGGGGTCATTCGGGAGCTGACTCAAGTTGGCGACCTCGTCCCGCGACGGCGCGTCCTGAGACCCCAGCTGTTGGATGCCGATCTCCGCCAGCGGCGCAGCCTGCAAGCCGATCTCCGCCAGCGGCGCAGCCTGCAAGCCGATCTCACCGAGCGGCGCCGCCTGCAAGCCGATCTCACCGAGAGACGCCGCCTGCAAGCCGATGGAGCCGACGTGCGGGGCGGGCTGATCAAGTGGTGGAGGTGCTCCAGGCGGCGCACCGTCCTCAGGCTAAGCGCGCGCGCGCCAAACCGACACAACGCACGAAACACATATTGAACATCATTGAAACCGATGGCCTCGAAATTTCAAGCTGTTCCAGACGGGGCGCGCTCGTGCGCACGTACGCGTGCGTGTGTGTGTGTGTTTTGTGTGTGTGTGTGCGTGTGCGTGTGTGTGTGTGTGGGTGAGTGTGTGCGTGCGTGCGTGCGTGCGTGCGTTCGTGCGTACGTGCGTGTGCACGGGCATGCGTCTTCGTGAGTGCGCGTGCGCGCATGTGAACGCTAGATTGCACGCGGATCCTCGCCCCCCTCGCAAGGGGGACGAGGACGGTGATAGAGGATGGCCAGCTTTGAATGCCCAAATGTCTGGCCGGCGGTCGTGAGGCCACGGCGACGAGCCCGCCCCCTCGAAGGTCATGGGGCAGCCCTTGTCTGCGTCGTGCTTGGTGTTGCCGATGTCCGCGCCGTGGTCGCCGTCGCAGTTGTCCTTGCCGATCTCGGTGTCGCCGCCCTTGCCTTGGGACTTGTCGTAGTCGTTGGAGCAGCGCTTGTCCTCGAACGTGTCCCTGGCGTCGCCAGCACCCGCGACGTCGGGGCTGCGACGCTGGTGCTTCGTCTGGGCGAGGGGCGCATCGTCGCTGTCATCGATGGCCGCATCGGCTGAGCTTCTCTCGGCGCCGACGTCCTTGTCACGGGCGTCGTCGCTGTCGTCGATCTCAACAACGGTGTCAGTGCGGCGTGCGTTGATGTCGGCTCCGCTGGCGGCCGCGCCAGTGCCGACGAGCTGGCCCTTGGAGCCGCCCGTGCCGTCGTCAGCGCCCTGGTCGACGCCCTTGGTCTCGGAGCCGTCCTGGCGGCGATCAGGGGGGGAGGGGTGCACCGATGTCCGACGAGTGGCAGGGCGAGGAGGAGGAGGGTGATTGCGACCAGAATTGGTATCAGGATGAAAATGAACTCCCTGGGGGCCCCTCGGGGAACCACTGGCGAGGCTACCGAAGTTCGGCTTGAACCCGCATGGGGTCCTCCAACTCCTCCCTAGAACGCTCGCCCACGGGGGACTCGTCCTCAGGGTAGTCAGATTTAGTGTGTGTGTGTGTTTGCGTGCGTGCGTGCGTGCGTGCGTGCGTGCGTGCGTGAGTGCTGTGCGTGTGCGTGTGTGTGAGCGTGTGTAGTGTGTGTGTGTGTGGTGGGGGGAGGGTGGGTGCGTGTGTGCGCGCTGTTATTCGTTTCTGCGTCGCATGTTAGGTGTTGGTGCATGGCGCTGATGTTGCGATGCATATCGGCGTTGCTGCTGCTGGGATGCCAGTGTTTCTTGCGTTACCAATGGGCATGAGATGCAACGGGATGCAACATAGTTCATTGTTTTTTAAAATGCTTGTTAAATGCGTGCGTTTGTCATGCTTTCGCGATGCCGACGTTCGACCGTTCTGGGTGACAGAGGAGGGCCAGGGTGAGGATGAGGCGGGGAAGGATGATGAAATATACTGAGACGATTGATGAGATGCTGCTGATGATGATGCTGATGATGATGATGCTGGTGATGCTGCTGCTGATGATGCTGCTGATGATGATGCTGCTGAGGCTGATGATGACGTTGATGATGATGATGACGATGACGATGATGATGGTGGTGATGATGATGATGATGATCATGATCATTATTTCTGGTTTTGCCGCCCCCAGGCGTTGTCGTTGAAGCCTCATGGGTCCTCCATGAGATGTACGAGCGCGGCCTCCATCATGGACGCGGCTGGCCCGTCCATGTCGCTCGTGGTGTTGGCCGTCTCGCCGTCGGCCTTCGTGTGCACGTGATCTGTGATGATCGTCTTGCTGATCGAGTCCTTCTTGATCGGGGTCGTCTTCATGTGTGGGGATGGGCTCCCAGCTGCGTCCGTGCAGGTCTTGTCTGCTGCCGCTGGTGTCACCTGCTGCGCCGCCAGCTTCTGCTTTGTCGGAGTTGCCGCTGCAGCTGGCTTCTTCATCGTCGGGTGGTCGACGTGCTCCTCATGCGTGGAACGCTTGCGCTTGATCTTGTGGCACGCTGCCGCTGGCTTCTTCATCGCGGTCATGCGCATCTTCTTCAGCGGTACGTCGTCGGCGACGGCCTCGTCTTCCTTGTCGGCGTCTGAGGCTGCGTCGGCATCATCAGCATCTGCATCCTCCTCCTCCTCCTCGTCCTCGTTGTCGCTGTCATGGTTCTCGCCAACGACCTGCTCGACGATCTCGGCGTCGCCCTTGTCGTGCTTGCCTGGGGGTGAAGCTCCATCAATCCTCCTCATCCTCCGTCTCATCATTCCCCTCCCCCTTTCCCTTATCCTATCTACCATGTCAGAGCCTATACGTGAACCTCTCTCATCCTCACCAGTATTTCCTCCTCCTCCTCCTCCTCCTCCTCTATCCTCCTCCTCCTCTATCCTCCTCCTCACCGCTCTCCTCCCAACCATCTGCCCACCCCTCTGCGTCCGGCCCTGCTCGGAGAGGAGAGCGGGGTGGGAGTGCGATATTGGTCGCTCTATGCCTGCAGGCCGCTTGCGAACGACATTGTCGTGCTTCTTCATCTCGTTCTGCAGCTCGATCCTGCGCTTGCTCGCCTCGGCCTTCGTCTTGATCGTGCCATCCTTGAACTTCTCGATGATGTGCTTCTGCACGGCCTCGAGCGCTGCCTGCTCAGACTCGAAGTAGCCGCAGCTGACGTTCGTCATCTGCTCCTTGCCCTTGCCCCCCCTTCACTGTGCGATGGACCCTGATCAGCTTGTCTGGGCCGCGGTCGGCCATGATGAAGGCCTTGACTTTCAGACCGTCTGGAGTGTCCGTCCAATCACTCATCCTGGACGAGTGCGCACGACATTTGTCAACCTCGGCGAACACATTCTCGAACACCCACTTGTCCTCGCAGTCGTCGTCGTTCTCCCAGAAGGCTGTGTGCTTGCCGTTCTCGTCGGGGCCTTCGATTCTTGCACACTTCTCTGGAGGCCCCGATTTCCTGTTGTTGATCGTCGGGATGCGGATCGGGGCCTGGTGGGTGATCTCATCGCATTTGTACACGTACGTCACGCTGGCGAACATGGGGTCTGACTGCTTGACGCCAATCTGCTCGAGCGGCTCGCTGAACCACTGTGGCCAGACCTTCCTCGTGAATGTCGTGCTGGCGTGCTTGAGCATCGCGCGAATTCTCTCGCCCATTTCGATCGACCAGCTTGTCAAGACCGCGCCTTGGACGCCTGGCCAGTTCTTGTCGTTCCCGATCAAGTAGAGCGCATTCTCCAGTGACTTCTTGCTCAACCACATGTTGGGCGCCACGTTCTTCCTGATGCAGTAGACGATGTCCATGTGGGCTGCCATTCGATCCTTGTCGGGGCCTGATCTGCCCTTCTTCGTCGGGTAGTTGACGAACTCCGCGTTCGTCACGAACTGCTCTAGGTGCTCCTTGATGAGGCTGACGTCCACGCAGGCGTGCGGCGAGTCCGCCGAGACATCTGATGCCGTCGCGTCGGCCGCCATACCCCTGGCACTGGCCGAGCACGTGCCTGGCGCTCGTCGCGCCTCTGTGCCAAAATGGCTATAGTTGTCTGTTATAGTTGATATTCCACCAGCTCTCTGGGCGTAGGTGGTTTAGGGATTCGGGGAGGGGTTTACCTCTCCCCTCCCACCCCTCTCCTGGACCTGGACGGGGGGCGGGGGCGGCGAGGTGTCAGGGCGCCCGAGAATGCCTCGACGAGGAAGCCAACATATTTGGTTTTATTATATTGTTGGCCTCAGTTTGGCCTCTTGGGGGGGGCAATGCAACTTGCGGCCATCCTCTTATCGGATCGATGCCCCCCAAGATGGCCCCAAGAAGCGCACATGCGATGGTCCCAAGATGGCCCCATGAGGCTCCCAAGAAGCAACGGGGAGGCTTCCAAGATGACCCCAAGCGCCCCTTCCACCCCCCAATGCGCCCAAGACGCCTAAGAGCCCACCAGGATCGCCACGAGGCCCCCAAGACGCCCCGATCGGCCACCAAGAAGCCCCCAGAGATATTCCAAGAGGCTCCGATTGGCATCCACGCTTAGCATCACTCCTTCTACTTCTTCTCTTCCTCATCCTCCTGCTCCTCCTCCCCCCCCCTCCTCATCAGATTCATCTTCTTACCCCCCACTCCCTCATCCCCCCAGCCTCCTCCGCGTCAACGTCCACCCTGTTTCGCTGTGCTGCCGCCCACCTCTTTGCTCCCGCGTTTCCCTGATCACATCGCTCGCCTGGACACTGTTGCTGGATGGGCTGGTGGGGGTACGCGAAGCGTATGGAGGTATTTCGTGTGTTTTAGTTGTGTGAGGCGTTGGGTTTCAACGAGTTTCAACGGATTTCATTTGTATTTCAACGTTGAAATGGGAAACTGCCGCTGGGGCCTTCGGTGGAGTTCCCTATGGGGCCACGAGACGTGCGAGGGGTGTGCCGAAGCGGGCGCGGGCACGCCATGTGGACCCTGCCACAGGAGGAGAACGAGGAAACAGAGAATGATGAGGAGGATGAGGATGAGTAGGATGAGCACACGCAAAGATGCGCCGAGGATGCGGAGCAGGAGGAGGGAGGGAGGGAGGAAGTGAGGGAGGGAGGGAGGAGGGGAGGAAGGGAGGACGAGGGAGATGGGACGAGGATATCGAGGAGAAGAATGGGGAGGAGGGATTAGGACGAGGAGGAGGCGGGCGAGGAGGAGGAGGGCGAGGTCCTTGAGGTCCTCCGCGGCGACGCCAGCAGCAGCCAGCACCTGGGCAGCGATTGGACACATCCGGTGGCACGGGATACCCCGTGCCACCGAATGTGTCCAGTCAAGGGTGTATTACAGCATCTACGGCGCTCCTCTTCCCCCTCCCCCTCCTCCTCCTCCTCCTCCGCCTCCTCCGCGTCCTCCCTGTCATTCATCTTCCCGCCTCCCACCTCATCCTTGCAACCCTCGGGGCCTGCGCCATGTCGGCAGCCTGGCCGCGCAGCCTGGCTGCCTGGGGAAGGGGTCGAGGGAGTGAACCGATCGATTGATCGATTCACCCCCTCGATTGATATTTTTTGTTGATTTGTACACATGTGTGTTTGCTAATATAATGAATATATACATATATATGTATGTATGTGTATATCGATGTATGTATGTATGTATGTATGTAGGTAGGTAGGTAGGTAGGTAGGTAGGTAGGTATGTTGTATGTATGTATGTATGTATGTATGTATGTATGTATGTATGTAATATATGTATTCATGTATGTATGTATGAATGCATGCATGCATGGCTGTATGGTTTTAAGTATTTATGTTTGTATGCATGTACGTATATATAAAAATATGTATGTACATTTACATAACGGTACCTCCAGGAGTTTGCGCCAGCTGTCGTTGGACAGCTGGACGCAGTTGATGTAGCTGTGGCCGTCCTCCAGCGGCTGCACGAACGGGATCTCGATCAGGTGATCGAGATCGCTTGATGGGGTGGGTGCCGCTGTGGATGCCGCCGAGGCTGTTCCCTGCTGCTGCTGCTGCTGCTTCTGCTGCTGCTGCGGCTGCATCGCGCCCAGGCTGCTGGGCGAAGGTCCACCAGAGGAGACTCGAACATAAAAATGCAGCCGAAGGAGGGAGGGAAAATCAGCACGTCTGAATAAACCAACATGTATAGTGTATATTCAACACGCATAGATGTTTCCACGCATTTTCAACATTCGACATCGTATGTAATGATATACATATTGGTGCGTGCGCATGTAGTTTTTGATGTTGCATAATCGTGCGTGTAGTGATTCAGCCCGGGAGACCCTCAGGGCACACACACACATACATACACACACACACACCACTCACACACACACACACCATACGGCCGGGAGGGCTCTCAAACGACCCATGACAGCGCGAAGACGGCCCTAGAGGGCCCCTAAAGCAGACGGCCCGAACGGACCCACAAGACTGCGATACAGGCGCGCAAGGCAGCCAAGGAATTGAACTCGAGCTCGAGTCAAGACGCACAATTGACGCATGTGACGGCCATTCGCGTTTTCATCCTTTTCCTCCTCGTCCTCCTCTTCCTGCTCCTGTTCCACCTCCGCGCTCCTGGCCATCATCGCATTCACAACGGCTCTACCATGCTTCAAGACATGAACAGGTATACGTAACGACCTCCTGCGCCACCTCCAGCACTGGCCATCTAGACAGCTGGGCTGGCACGGTAGCGGAACTTGCGGCGACTTCCTGGATCATATTCAATGTGCTACCTCGTTGGCCTTGCAGACATGACAAGGTACACGTAACGGCCTCCTGCGCCACCTCCAGCACTGGCCATCTAGACAGCTGGGCTGACACGGTGGCGGCACTTGCGGCGACCACCTGGATCATATTCAATGTGCTACCTCGTTGGCTTTGCAGGCGTCCGGAAGTTTTCGGGAATCTCTGAATGCATCTCTGGACATCAGGGGTCAAAACCCGTGGCGGCACTGATCTTGCGATTTCGCGCTTCCCAAACTCATCCTAAGATTCCTCCGCTTCTTTGGACACCCCGAAAGAATGGGTACAATGCCGAACAGCAAATGTTGTCCCAAACCAACAGCGGCCGCTGTTGGGCAGGCGGCCTTCTGTCTCGAATGGACACAGGCCGCGGCGGCGTGGACAGCGAATCCTGTTCAGAATGAACAAGAACTGCTGTTAGGCATCGTACCCATTCTTTCCGTGCCCACCTCGGGCGTCCAGAGCTTCGGCCTCTTCCCCTCCCGGCAGATCCTCTTTTCCTTCTTTTGTTCGTCCTCTTGTTTCATCGCGATCCTCCGAATCTTTCGTCCGAGAAACGGCATTACCTGAAGATCGAGCATGATCCTGGTTCCCCTCTCCTAGCTCAATGGATTCCTCCTCGAGGACCTTGTGGGCGGAAAACTGTTCCATGGCGTCGCGTGGTTAATAAAATCCAGCGAACAACGTAAGGATGCGCGGAGTATGGCGTGCGCGCGCAGAAAGGGCGGGCGCGCCTTCGCCGATAGACGCCGGAAGCGCTCCGTCTTCACGGATCCATCCTGGCCCAAACGCCCGATATGGCAGGCGGATGGACGCTTGAAGCCGAGGCGGAGGGAGCGACGGCAACGACTCCCCTCGCGGCAGGCGACGGAGCCACTTCGCCCCGCGCGCCAGCCCCTTCGCCGCGCCCTGCCACGGGGGGGGGGCCAAACCCTCAAAACCGTCTCACAGCGACGCCCTTCCGAGCTGACTACCTACCAGACCACCCCAACCCAACCCGAAGACCCCAACTTCGGGTTGGGGGGGGTACGGGTTCCATATGTGTTTTTTCGATGTTCCCCGACCCCCCCCCAACTGGAAATGGAGGGCAAATTGAGGCCTTCGGGTTGGGTTGGGGTGGTTTGGTGGGTGGTGACGAGCAGGGCTCAGCAGCTCGGGGGCTCAGCAGCTCGGCGTGGCCCCGGACGTCAGTGAACCGGGCCCGCGGGCGCCTCCGGCCCCCCGAAGGTCGCGCTTCGACCTCGCCCACCGCGAGCTGCCCCCCCAGCCTCTTACTATGAGGAGGAGGAGGAGGAGGAGGAAGAGGAGGAGGAGGAGGAGGAGGAGGAGGCGGAGGGAGGAGGAGGAGGAGGAGGAGGAGGGAGGAGGAGGGAGGCGCCCCGATGTTTTCTAGTCCACCCCCACTTCCAGGAACGGCCAGGCCGCTCGGAGCTTCCCGAGCACCGCGTTGCGTTCTTGCGGTGGTTGTGATCCCGGCGCCGCTCGCTGCTCGACCATCCACCAGGGCCATCGCAACCTCCTCGGCCAGTCCGCCAACGGCTCGAATCATCATTCCACCGGCTTCCAGAAGATGAAGCGTCTCCGTTGCGACGGCCGCCGCCATGGTTTTGACGCTTCCACGACCATAGTTCAGGCGCTTGCTAGCAGGGCCGTCGCCAGTGGGGTAGTCCTACCCTCGCGAATAGATTCGAGGCGACGATTCTCCCCCGCACCCACGGCTCTAACGTCCGGAGTCCGCGTCGTGGGGAGACGGGACGTCCGTCGCAAAACGCACCGCGATCTCCTGCGCCAGACTTACCATCGCCTGCCCCTGTAGAGCCCGTCCTGGGAACCGATGGCGGGACAAGGGCAATCATCGCCTTGTCAATCTCAATCTCTCGTGGATCCTTGGTTTCCCGTTTCCGCCTTCTGCCGGGCCTTGCGGACTTGGATCCGGTACTCGTCTTGATCTTCAAGAAGCCGCCGGAATCAACCTCATTCCGTAAACTCGGCTTGTCGTGCTCAAAATTGCACGAGCGCCATCCGACATCTCACCTCTTTGGATTACCCATTTTTGTCCTAAGAGCGCCCAGGGCACCGCCGGTGGCTCCGCATGTCTCTGCGCCCAAGGGCGCGCCTGCCCCCTCGCGTCCACAGAGAGTCCGAATTGACGATATGATATCTCCGTCGATCACAGTACTGGGCTTTGCGCGCGTCTTGCCTGCTTCAACAGCCGCGCTCGCGAGATTTCGCTCGATTCCCCCCGTTTTCTTGGCGAGCCGTGGCGAGCGCTGCCCGTCGAAGCCTGGACTGTCCAATCCCACCAGCCCTCTGGGCGTAGGTGGTCTAAGGCGATTCCTCTTCCACCCCTTCCTCTCCCCCTTTGGGGAGGGGATCATCACTGCTCCCTATTAATATACACCCCCTCCCCCAGGCGACTGGGAGCCAACCATCCCACCACCATCCCTTTTGAAAAAACAATGCAACATACATTCTGCCTCCAAATTCGGACAATGAGCAGCGAACCCGGTGCGGCCTCCCCCCACCATCCCTGTCAACAAACATACAAAGTACACTTGGCGGCGGCGGCGGCTGCGGCGGCTGCGGCGGGGGCAGCGGCTAAGGCGGCTGCGACGGTGGCGGCGGCGGTGGCGGCGGCGGCGGCGGGGGCGGCGGCGGCGGCGGCGGCGGCGGGGGCGGCGGCGGGGCAGCGGTGGCGGCGGCAGCTGCGGCGGCAGCGGCTGCGGGCGGCGCGATTCGGCAGCGGGGGCGACGGCGGCGGCGGCGGCGGCGGCGGCGGGCGGCGCGGCGGCGGCGGCGGCGGACGGCGGCGGCGGGCGGCGCTGCGGCGGCGGCGGCGGCGGAGGTGGCGGCGGCGGCGGATTCGCCCCCAGTAGCTGCCCATCCAAAGACGACTGCTGAATATGCTGCGGCTCGGGCCAGGCTCGGGTACTACGTATGTATTGGGAGGGCGGGTGGGAGTGAGCGAGACGGCTTGCGGGCGGGGAGGGGGTGACTTGACCCCTCCCCCTACCCCCCTCCCCTGGAACTGGACGGGGCGTTCCGCGAGCGGTCGGAGCGTCCAAAACGGCCTCGGCGAGGAAGCCAGAATCACTGGTTTTACTAAGGTGTTGGCCCCATGTTGGCCTCTTGGGAGCCTCCTCCTCCTCCACTCCTCCTCCTCCTCCTCCTCGTCCTCCTCCTCCTCCTCCTCCTCTCCTCCTCCTCCTCCTCCTCCTCCTCCCCTCCCCCTCCTCCTCCTCCTCCTCCGCCTCCTCCCGTGACCACTGCTGCTCCACCTCCTCCTTCTCCCCCTCCTCTCCCTAAGTCGCCCATCGACTTAGGCAAATCAAGGTACGTCGAAGTTAACCCAGGGATCCCCAGGAACATCTGGAGGAAATCGTGGCCGCTCCAGCGCGAATGGAGGGACGGCAGAAATCGTTCAAGCCCTTAACGATCCTCCTCCTCCTCCTCCTCCTCCTCCTCCTGATCGGAACGTCCCGTGGCGGGGGCCTTGGGCGCGCATTGATGGGGGGCGATCAATTGGGTGAAGAACGGCGCCCTGTTCGGGCCCAAAAGACCCCCTCTGGGGCTCGAAGGGGCCCCTTCGGTGGCCCAAAGGGGCCCCTTTCTGCATCCCTCGCTGCCCCTCCCATTACTCCCACACTCCGTGACGCGCACCCCAGGACCCCCTGAGGCCGAGAGAAGGTCCAGGCCTGCAGCCTCGATCGAGATCCTGGCCGGACCTGATCGTTGTGTTTCGTTTTGGTTTCGTTTTGCTCTACCTGCTTTCCTGTACCTCCCTACCAAGACGAAACACAGCCGAAGTCCAGCAAAACAGCGTTTGGGCCCAGCCTTATGTTGCTCCCGTCGTACTGAAGGACCTCATCCGAGAGAGAATCTCGAGCACCCAGAAAAGTATCGAAGCAGTGCCGGACGAGCATCGAAATTCTTTCTCGTGATCAAGGCCAAAGTAGGTTGGAACATCAGAAGTCCGGCCCTGCGATCGAGATCCTGGCCCTCTGGACGAGCCGCGCCAGCTCGGCGTTGATGAACAGCCCGTCCTGCTCGCGGTAGACGTACGGCCGAAGGGCTAAGCCCGGGGGCCCCCCGGGGGGCCGCGGGGGGGGAGGGGACCGCCCGGCGGAGGGAGGGCGGGATCGCAGGAATGGCTCGGTGGAGGTCCGACCATAAGAAACCATCCACAGGAAGCCCAGCCCTGAGACCCCAGGACGTCCACTGATTTTTGGTTTGGGAACGTCGCGCCGTCCATCGCAAAACAATCGAGACCCAAGAAACCCAGGGCACCCTGGAGGCGAGCAGGGTGTTTCGTGGCATGGGTCTCAACTGTATGATGCGCATGATGCGGCTGACGAGGATGCGGCAGCTTCGAGGGTGAGGGATCAGAGAGGAGCGAGGAGTGAGCATAAGGACTGGAAGGGCGGGGAGGGCGAGGAGAATCAGGAGGACGGAAATGGAGAGGGACGAGCACGTGGAGGAAGAGGGAAGATGGTGGCAGGAGGGCGAAAGAATGGAGAGAGGCAGCGGAAGTAGGTTGATGATGATCGGAGGCGGCCTGCGATAAGGAGGACCGACAAGAGGATAGCAAGAGGAGCAGCAGGAGCAGGTGACCAAGGTGGAGGATGAGCGAGACCGAAGACAAGGCCCTGGCCTCATATGCAAAAGCGTATCATCGCTCCTCCTCCCACCCATTCCCCTCCTCCTCCTGCCCCCTCCTCCTGCATGCTTTCCTCGTGCCTCCACCCTTCCCCCCCTCCTCGTGCCTCCTCCTCGTGCCCCTCCCTCCCTCCCCCCTCCTCCTGCCCGTCCCCCCCCCCTCGTACCTCTTCCTTCTGCTGCATCCTCCTCCTCCTCCTCCTCCTCCTCCTCCTCCTGCCTGCCTGCTTTCCCCATGCGACCTCCCTCCTTTCCCCCCCCCCTGGGAACAAGGGCCCCCCGGCTTCGCCCTCCGGCGGTATGCGAGCGAGCGCCCGAACCTGTCGACCGGCTCCGCGTCGGACTCGAGGCGCACCTCGCCGTGCCGGGAGGGCGGGGGGGGGGGGACGGGAAGGGAGGGAGGAGAGGGCGTAGCATACAGTCGGGGCGGTGACCACAAGGAACCTTTTCGGGAGCGGCCAAGAGGGGGGTGTCCAAGAGAGGGGGGTGCAAATCATGACCGGCGGCATGTGCGCGGCCCCGCGGGGGGGCCAGGGCGCCATGAAATCTGGGGAAATATCATAGCCCACGCCATGATACTCACACCCCCGTAGTCATCACCCCCCCTCTTTGCCGCCCCCGACAAGAAATCTTCCACGAGAAACCCAACCCTGAGACCCTGGGACGTCCATCAATGTGTGGTGCGGAAGCGTCACGCTGCCCGCCTGGAAACCATCGAGGCCCAAGAAAGCCAGGGAACCCTGGAGGCAAGCAAGGCGCTTCTTGGCACGAGTCTGCTCTGAACAGCTTGTGCGCGCATGTCCGTTTCGATTCACGGCCATTTGTGTCCACGGGGAGCCGTTCTGGCGCGCACTCTGGGGAGGCCACCTGCGATCGCAGAAGCACTGCGCCACCTCTCATTCTTATGTGCACTTGGGAACAGCAGCAGGGCAGATGTTCCTCCCCATCTGTGTGCGAGACAGGCGAGCAGTGGCGAACGAATTCGCAGTCTAGACGCGATGCGCCTTTGAAGCAGTATCCTGCTGCTGTAATCCAAGGATGCCACCATCGACATCGGAGATAGCCATGTCCTGAACGGAAAATGGGGGGGGAGGCTTCAGGACCCCCACGCCAGGACCCTGCAAGGCCCCCCAAACGCCCCCCCCCCAAACAAAGAACCCAACGCCTCTCCACCAATCCCCCTGCCTCGCTAGAAAACGAAACACATGCAAAAACATGACCTTGCGGAACTCCGCGCGGGTTTCTTGGGTCGGCGCCTGGGCCCCCCCCGACACCCCCCCCTGGCGCGCTCCGCGCGCCAGGGGAAGGTGGGCAATCGGGCAATCGCAGATCCAAGGAAAAACTCGCGGAGCTTCGAAAACATGTATGTGTGCCGTTGTTCCATCCTCTCTTCGCTGGCGCTGCTGGGCAGCGGTCGTCGCCGGGACAGTGCGGCGGTGGAGCTGGAGGCGGGTCATCGGTATCAAGGTCGCCGTGGTACAGTGGAGGCCAGTCCACAAGAAACCTTCCACAAGAAACTCAACCCCGAGACCCCAGGACGTTCACTGATTTTTGGTTTGGGAACGTCGCGCTTTCCATAGCAAAACCATCGAAAACCAAGAAACCCAGGGCACCCTGGATGCGAGCAGTTTCTTGTTCGGGCCCCCAATGTACTGGTGGTGGTGCTGGCGGCCGTGGATGTCGGCTGTGCGCCTCGGGCCTGTGGCATACAGTTTTCAGTCTGCACCTCTGCTGAAAATTGGAGCCGAAGCTGCTGCAACGGCGCCAGCGGCCGTGGCAGTGTAACTGGTGGTGGTCGGTGTAGTTGTAGTGGGAGGACTGTGGAATGACAAGTGTCGTGGTAGTCGGTCTGCCAGCGTGGTGCTGCCTGGCAATGGCAACAGTGTGAATCCAAGAATGATCAAATCTCTGGTGCCAGCGATTACAGATGTTTGAGCGGCCAAAGATAACCAAAACAACGCCTCTAGACTCTAGACATCACGCGGACCAGCAACCAACAGACACCGAAACGCAGGCCCGGGTTCAGAATGCCACGCGGCGACGAATAATACATCTTTCGCCGACGGGAGCGCCCCTCCTCCCCTTGGGACAGGCTGGGGCGGGCGGGCCCCGAGTGCGATCCCTGGAACTTCCGTTGACAAGCGGCGGGGCTGGAGTTCGAGCCGGGCCCGCGCGCGCCGCCCCCCGGGCGGCGAGCGCCACCTCGTCGCAACCCGCCAGGCCGCCCGTGTGTAGGCGCCTGCTGCTCCGCCACCACGTGCACGTCTCGCGCCCGAGAGTGCGCTCGGCGCCGTCGCGCCTATAGGGCCGTGGCGCCTGGTGAACCCGAAGCCCGCGTCGGGACGGCGGCGCCCTGATGCGAACATCCGGGGGGCCACGCTGCTGCGCCGCGGAGGCTAGCGGTCGCGCCTGTTTTGAACCAAGAGCGCTGCTGCGACCCCGTCGTCGATGGGTCGAGCGCGATCGTGAGGGCGGTACATTCGCAGGTCAGGCCCCTATCCATGTGCGAAGGCTGGCCTGCGCTAGGGTCGAGAATGCAGACGTCCAACTCCGTGTCCTCCGTTGCTTCGCACGTCCGTGCTCCGTCGGTTCATCCTACTCCTCCTGTCATGGAACCCTGTTCCCCGGTGCGCCCCCCCGGGTCGCCGCGGGCTCCCGTTGCGGGCCCCGTGCCCACCTGCCCCCGCAGTTGCGCGGCGCAGAGTGCGACGGTCAGCTTGTCCAGACCGCCCTCGCGGTCCTCGGAGAGGCCCTCGTACGGCGCCGCGCTCAGCGCGGCCTTGGCGGCAGCCACGGCATGCCTTGCGGGCGTGGAGGGCCCCGCGCCACTGGGCGGAGAGGCGCTGGGGGCGGTCCCCGCACCTCCCCGCCGCTCGGCAGCGAGCTCCTCCGAGTCGCTCTTCGGTTTGGGCACGGGGACTGAGCCCTCAGGGGCGCGCGCGAACTCCTTTGCGGAGATGTCGCTCTCAGAGAGGTCCACCTTCTGGTCGGGGCGAGGCGCTCGGGGTGGCCCCGATACCTCAGCCGCCGCCGTCGGGCGCCCCCTCCGCTGCAACCTCCTCCGTGGCTGGCAGCGCGCCCCTGCTGGGCGGGTCAATGCCCGCGCTCGCATCGGTGACCCCCCCCATCGCTGCCGTCGCCTCATTGGCTCCCGTCAGTAGCTCCATCTGCTTCCCCGGAGCCTCAGCTTCAGCCCTGGCCTCTGCTTTAGCCTTGGCCTTGGCGCTGAGGGCTTCGCGCAGCGGCTCGGGGTCGTGGCTCGGGGGGGGGGGGGGGGGGCGGGGCGAGTCGTCGCTGGCCACGGCATCGCGGCGGGCTTCGAGAGCTTCGGTGCCATGGTGTCGCAGAGCCGTGCGATCCAAACAGCTGTGGTCGAGATATGGGAGACGAGACAGGGGGCGGCCGATCCCCCAATGGAAACTTACACAGGGGGCAAGCACACCAAAGTCGGAACGGCCCGCCAAGGGAGAAGACGAGGCAGGAGAGACAAAATGATTGGGCCACCCACGTTCGGAGCGAGCGCAGGGAGCGAGAGAAAAGGGAGAGACAACCACGGCGCGGGCAGGCGTCGACGTCGATGGCGAGACGCAGTAGGCCCCAAGACCCACGGGGCGTCCCCGACCCCCACCGCCACTTTCCGCCTCTCGACACTGGCTGAGCAGGCTCCTGGCGCACAGTGCGCCTGATGAGGGAGACCTGCAATTGATGGCATCATATGTCCGCAATGACTGAGGCGAGCTGACTGATTTTCCCGCCACGTGCAAGCGAGACCCGAGACGGTCAGGATGCAAAAAGTGCGGAGACATCGGCGGTAGCAAGCAAGCAAGGCAGCACGGCCAGGGCCCTGGACGGCGAATGGCGCAGGGAGCGGGGGAGGGGGGCGGGCGCGGAACCTAGTCCATGCCGAGCACGCGGGGCGGCCCCAGCGCTCGGCACGACGTCCACTGCGGCGAGAAAGTTGCTCGTCCACCTGGCCCTGCAGGGCCCGGGCGACCGTGGAGCGAAGGGGGCACCTGGCGGCGTTGCGCTCGGCCTCAGGAAGCTCAACGATCACGCGCCTCAGCCAGGTTTCGGCCTCGGCGCCCAATTTGCCATTGATGGCCAAGACATAGGGCGCGAGCCCCTAGAACGGGCATCTGCGATGCATCGGTTTTTGCCGGCGCTGCAGGGCCGCCACATGGGGCCTGCCGAGCTGCGCGACCGCCGCGGAGTCCACCCAGCTGATGTCGAATCATACGCGCCCGTGCTGGCCGCGGTGGTACACGACGTCCAGCGTCGCTGCGCCGTCCGCGTCCGTGTGCCACTCTTGGATGACCTGCTCCACCTGCACGCGGTGCCCCAACTCGCGGCGTCGCGGGCGGCATTGTGGCGCGGCACCGGGCCGCCGCCCCTGGGGCAGTTCAGCGCGCGCGCAGTGGACATCCACATTGCGCCCGCAGACGGGGCCCGCCTGCGCCGGCGCGCGGGCGAGCGCTGCCGGCCTGTTCTGGCGCGCGCCCGCCGCGAGCAGCAGGGGCAGGTGCATGCGCCGCTTGGCCGCGATGCAGAACGCGCGGTCGGCGAGGACGAGACGCCCTCGAAATTCTCCAACCATGCGCCCGCAGAGGGGCCAGAAGCACCGTGCACCGCCGCCGCCGCAACCGACGGCAGGGTGGCCAGGAACTGTCTGGAGATGTGGTCGCGCGCCCTTCCGGCGCGCGCCCTTTGGCCCGCGCTCGCCCGGCCCTCCAGGACACCCTGCCACCGGTCCGCCCGGGGCGCGCGCCCCTCAGGCGAGCCGGCGTGGCCTCGGCTGCCGAGAGAGTTCGTCCCCGGCCTGGCCAGCGGCGCCAGAGGCCCACCGCCGTCGATTCTCGCAGCTCTGCAGCGGCTGCACGGATGCCTGACTCCCAGGAGGCGAGGAGGGCCGCCGGCCCGCGTGCGGCCGCGCTTCCGAAGCCGAGCCCGCCCTCGCTGACCTTCATGGAGACTTGGGCCCGCGGGCCCTCGGTGACGCTCGGCAGCCCGCCGCCGTCCACCCGGTTGGCCCAGGCTTCTACGAGCGGAAGCGCACGCCGCATGTGGACGCAGGCCCCGCGTGAGCAGATCCGCCCCAGCTGAAGTGTCGAAGGCAGACAGGCCACGCCTCCTCGGCGAACCCCTCTGGCGTCGCGAAAGCCCGCGAGGGGAACATCCCGCAGGTTCGCGTCCACGTCGTGGTCAGCATGGGCCAGCGTCGAGCCTGCCGCCATGAGCTGGTCTACGCGGTACTGACCGTAGTGGGCGCACTGGGGCGGTGGCGCAGCGTGGGGTTCTGGGGGCCAGATCTGCGTCTTAGGCATCTAATTCGCGCCATGGTTCTCGATGCGGGCCTTC